CTGTGCTGTATTGTTGTTTTATTCTTTACTGATTCATGATTATGATTTAATTGTTTTGTGTATTATTTGGATATAGCAACGATTTCTACCGCCACCAAGGAGGTTATGTATTCCCCGATGTCACTGTCTGGGTGTCTATTCCAGCTTGTTTTTATATCTAGTATCTTTGTTGAGAATTGATAATAAAATACGCGACGACTTGGTAACGAAAGTTTGGAACAAGTTTTTTTAGATCCAGCTGTAGGGGGCGTCCCATTTTTCGTATTCCCATCATTCATTTCGGTGGAACACGGTGGAACACTTTTTTTGTGTGGAGAACTCTATCTTGTATTTCTAGTATCTTTGCTATGACTCAACTGGGCCTAGGCTGTTAAGTTAGCGATGAATAGCAGCATGAATTAACGTAACCACGGAAACATTTATTGTATTCTTATTGTCTTTTCTATCAATTTAGCTTGTCTATTGTGTTTAGGTAAACTAATTATTTTGTTACAATTTGTAAACTGTTGAAATAATAGTGGTGGTCGGGAGCCTGTAAATCCTGGTCGGAAATGTTGAGTGCTGGACGGGCCCGTCCACCGCCGACCAGCGTGGTGACATCCCTGTATACTTATTTACATAAGTGTGTTAAGTCACTTCTCTGTTCTTCTACTATTATTATCATTCTCTCTTGATGAAGTAACTCTTCTTGAAGTAATAACTTTCATTCTTTGCCTTGTTTTATATTCTGTACTAATTTGTACCAAATTCCTTAACATCTGCTTTCTGCATAAACCACCATATGTACCTACCATACCAGCAAATCATTACAATTCCATCATAATATTGTGGTCTAAAAGAACAATTTGGGCCAAACTAAGCCACAAAACTCTCCCTGTGAACCCTGGGATTTTTTTTATTATTTTTTACTGTAAAGAATGTTATACACAAATTGCTATAATATTGTATTATTGTATTGTATTATTGTATTATTGTATTGTATTATTGTATAATGACTTTGCTTTATTGTGACATTGTAAATATGAGCGAAAAAGCCAAGTACTGGTAGGCCTATTCGGCATAGTGGTTTATTGCACTTTCTATTTTTGAGGGCTGGAAAAGCATCTGGTTTATCAACTTTATTTATTTTCATTGCTGAATTTTCCGGTCCAATTTTTTGCGGATAATCCAAATGATAAAGTATTATGCAACTGTAGAGAACATTTGGAAAAGTTGTACCGGGAATTTACACAGAGGATGCACTGATACGTTTTTGTTTTCAAACAACCCTATTTTATCAGCTTCACTATAAAAAAAACTCATATTTTTATTTGCAGGTAGGCATTCACTGGGAAGCAAGTATCCTGGACGTAAGTATGATTCCGTCAAGTATCTTTGTTAACAGATTTCCAGTAAGATGTGAGGATCTAGGTGATGGGAGGCTGTTGTTGGAGAGTCAACAGAGAACAGAGGAAATAGAAACTTATTTCAATAATGAACTTGAGAAGTGGCTTAATACTCAAGTTGATGGAGTAGATCAGGATAGTTGTGTTTATTGTGATGCCAAGGTACAGTATGTTTTATTTTAATTAATTTGAAATGTTTATTTTATACTAGGATTTGTTATTCAATTTTTTATGTCAAAAATATCCTCTAATACATATACATATACATATAGATACAGAGAATATTTTGTCATTCTTAACGCGTCCTACGAAATTCTTACGAGACAGCACTAGTCCGTGAATTTGTGAACAAGATCGGAGATTTAAAGATGCAATCTCTACCGCGCATCAGTGGCGGCCCGCTGGATCTCAATAGAGATTCTTTAATAATATAAAAATTTTAAATAGTTTTGCATTATGTGGCCGTTTGCTGTTTCATGGGTTTTTCCCATTTGCCTTTTAAAATTTTTATATTCTCTGTATCTACTGGAACCGAGCCACATAGCTTGTATTCCACTATTTGCATTCACACCTGGGCTGTGTATATATATTGCCTTGGTTTGGCTCTGTAATCATTAGTGGTCGTGGGACTAGTTTTACCTAAGCCTGGTCGAACGTTTCGTTTGGGTCTATACCCTAGCTGCACTGATGAGGCCTGGAAGGCCGAAATGGATCCGTCTGCAGATATTGGGATTCCTTCCAGTGGATGCTTAGTTTATTTTGTCATTCTGATCTAAATTGAACCAATGACATTTCACATTTATCTGTATAATTCATTTGGCTTATTTATAGAGGCGTGCCTCTAAAGTTTATTTTTGGCCTTCCTGTTCACTTTTTCTCGCTGTTTATTCTCATCTCACCTAGCCTATTGTTTCCAATCATGCTTGCATGAAATCCTCACTTTATACTATCTGGCTTTTTCTACCCTCACTCACTCGCCGCTGAGGAAGGACTAGTGTTGTCCGAAAGCTCTGGTTCTATTTCTGGCTGTTTACTTACGTTTACTTTTTAGCTGTTGCTTATCATATTTGTATCTCTACCGAGATCCAGCCATTGTTTCCCACAGCATTGTTGTTTTTCAGTATTTTGCCTTT